TCAAACTTTGCACTGCACCTCTTCTTTTGGTATGGAAACTGTTCCCTAAATTTGAAAAGAATCTAAGCAGAAGTTTCAAGTTTTAGGTTGAAAATAGCTGTATTTTTCTGAAAATCCAAATTTTGAAATCAAACTTCATCTGCACCTCTCCTATTGGTATAGAAAGTGTTCACCAAGTTTGAATAGAATCTATGCAGTAGTTTTCAAGTTATAGGTTGCACGAAAAATGTCCTCGGAAGGACGGAAGGAAGGATTGAATTTCTTCATAACTACCCCCGCCCTGTTAGGTTGAGGGTATAATAAAGAACTCTAAAAAAGCCATCAAATAACAGTCATGTAAGGTGCATGTATCACCACTTAAGCAACACCCCAAGTAGAGTGCATATGACTGTCCCAATAAATGCCATGATGAAATCTTAACCACAATGCAGTGCAACAAATAAGCTGTTAGGTTTCTGAGAAGATGATGCTGTGGAATTTTCCTCACTTTTTAATATTCAAAGTGACATTATAGTTCTACATAGTTTCACATAGTTTCAGCTCTCCTAAGGCTTCTGAGAAGATTCTGAAAGGTTCATGAATATTCTCAAAGATGTTGAGAGAATTTTGCAAATTAAAAAGAAAACAATTTTTGTTTTCAAATTAAAAACATTAACAAATTTGAATCAGTTGTGTATCTATACTTCATGACAATATTTCAATCAATGGTAGACTCTGTGGTTTAGTCACCTCCTATTAATATTTTTCATAATTTGAAAACTGACTTAAATGCAACAAACCTATAGCTATGTGCCAATTTTAGGCCCACCACTTTTAGAAGAGGTAAAAAGTTAACAAACCGACAGTCAACTTGGTGAGCTAAACTTTCCTCCACTACAATGCAATGTTTGATTTGAAACTGTGTTTATAAGAAAGAAGAAAATAACGGAGCACTCAGAATAAAGACAGGTTTATTTGGTCAAACAGTCATTATCTTTGAGTATCAAAACATTCTTGATAACCCTGCTGGCTTATTTGTTTTAAACATTTTCTCTAAAAAAATGAGCAGATATTAGTCAATCTGACCAAATTTGGGCCCGCCAGATGACCTAGGGTCTATTTTGATTTACGGGTTGACTTGTATTTAGCAGTTTTCTGGGTTAAGTTAATACACTTTTTGATGACGTACTTCCCAATTGTCTGTTCAAGCCATTTTTGAAGGCTGTGATCTAATACCGCCAGTGGTCATGGCATCTGTCAAGGTTGCAAGTAGGGGATGAATTCAATTACATGACATGTGAATCATGCGTCTTGTTTGAACAACCCAGTTTGCTTATAGTAACAAGGAAAACCTTTTCCTGGCGTTAAGCCTGGGGGAGATCTTGGTAACAGAATCGGTCCCTCTGTTGTGCTTGTTCTTTGAAAAAAATTATATATTGCATTTAAAGAAATTCTAGGTTTCAATTGGGTTTTGGAAACACAAGATATTACCAAGAACAAAACTTTAATAGCATGAAATTGCCAGCTTAAAATATCTGTTTGTCTGGGATTGCCTCTTGCACAGTGGTAGGATAACTGGATAATTCTTCATGGCAGAATGGAAATCTAATATCTCACATAGCATGGGAATCTAATGTCTCACCTACCGTGGGAATCTAATATTTCTCCTAACAAGCTAAACCTTAGTTGCAGTGGGCTTGACAACCTGCCATGGTGCTGTTCCCTGCACAAGGAATGTCTGTGTCATAGCGCAAGTACTGTAGCTCACCTGCAAATATATGCTGTTTATTCGGGGAGATTGATTCTAGATTATATGGCTGCTTATGAAGAGTGTAAAAGAGTGAATATGTTATTTGTTCTATTTTCTTGTTTAACGCCACACTCGGCAATATTCCAGCTTTATGAGGGCAGTCTGTAAATAATCAAGTCTGGACCAGACAATCCAGTGATTGACACGAGCATCGAACTACGCAGTTTCGGATATGATTACAATATATATCAATAATTAATATATATATCAACCAAGCTAGTGAGCCTGACCACCATATCCCGTTAGTTTCTACTTACGACAAGCCTAGTCGCCTTTTACAGCAAGCATGGGTAGTCACCTTTTACAGCAAGCATGGGTTGCTGAACACCTATTCTCTACCCGGATCTTCACGGGTGTTATTTGTTCTAAGCTCATGGGTTTCACCAAAGTGGTGTATGTCAAAAACCTGCATGACATCTGAGCTTTCCTCATTTAGCTAACATGCTGTGAGATAAATGACACATTGTTTCAATCAACACAAAACACAACTGACTTACTAGCCCACAATATACAACCAGAGCTGTCAACACCAAACTTTGCATGGAGTGAGAGATAAATTAGTCAGTGTTCATGAGCCTTGGCCAGGGGATCACAAGGATGGCAATGATTTTGGATGGATAGATGGACAGCTCTTGGATGGACAAATGGATAGTTCTAGTTATGTCCTAACATAATGTATCAATGATAAATGAATAAGAAAGCAATCACCAGAAGCCCAGTTACTGTTAACTACACTGAGCACAACCAGATTTTAGAAAAAATATATTTGAAAATAACAGGCATGAGAACATTGATTTTTTTTTGCTAAGGTACATGTTCTTGTACAACAATGAAAAATGATGCAATTTTGAATGTATCAGTAGTTGAAACCTTGATAGTCCACACATTATTTATCATTATTTATTAACATGGGGGGACGGTTGTGTAGCCTAGCGGTTAAAGCGTTTGCTCGTCATGCTGAAGACCCAGGTTTGATTCCTGACATGGGTACAATGTGTGAAGCCCATCCATTTCTGGTGTCCCCCGTCGTGATATTGCTGGAATATTGCTAAAAGCGGCGTAAAACCATACTCACTCGCTCACTATTAACAGGGGCATGCACCTTGCTAAGTTGAACTCCATTATCTCAAAATATTGTTTTAGAATTACTGTTTGGTTACTATGGTCTAATAAGGACGCTTTGCTTGTCACACTCCATGTGCTTAAAGAATTAACAGAAGAGGGCATTTCGGGGCTGACCATTTGATATTCTGAAATATATTTGAAAAATAAATAAATTGTTCCTGAAAATTTGTAGCTGTAGCTGAAAAAAGATTTAATCTCAAAACAAACTCCTCCCTCCCCCCTTTGGAAGTCTAAGACAACAACAAACTTTAGTTAATAGCTGATATTATGAACCAAGAAAACATTTTGTGATAAAAGGTATAGACAAGGTGATTTAGAACTTTAACTGTATTTCCGGTTATGGTGAGCATTATTTAAACACTGTAATCAATAATATTGTGTAAGTCTTTTCTGGCAAACTAAGCCTAAATAGCTACATAAAATATATACCCCTGCTCCAGGGTCCCGTTCCTCAAAGCGATCTTAGTGCTAAGGTGATTGTAAGTCACATTAGTTAACATAGGCTTACGATCATTGTAGTGCTAAGATCGCTTTGAGGAATGGGGCCCTGTGCTCTACCTACTCAACAGTTAACAATTTCATTCAGTTGTTTTTAGTTCAATCCACAACAATTATTTATCCCTTCTTCTTATTCTGGTTGCTTCTTTTGCAACATTTCCGAAACATAAAAATGCATCCTCTGTTTTCCACTACGGCATATGATCAGCTTATTCTGTGCATGGTACAAGTTCTAAAGTCACCGTTTCATATCGACAAATCAGCGGTGTCATCGTTGTGAATCTACAATGATTCGTGACTGGGTTTCTGTACATGTGTCATTGTAATATTGCATGGAATCTTTGCATGAAATAGAGATTCAAATATGAATATCCCTGAGGCATTCATGTTTTAAATTACTATGTGTTGCTTTGAAAAGGAAACTCCTTCTTGCCATGAATAGCGGTCTGCCAGGATTAAATTGAGTCAAACACGGAGACAGGAAAATTGAACTGACGATGCAAATCGATCCTCTGTTCCATTGACGTGTGTGCAGAATGAAGATGACACTGTTATAATAATTAGGATGCCACAACCTAAAAACAGAATCAAGTTACCTATGAGCTTCTGAAAATAACTGTATGTTCATCATGGCCAACAGGGATGTCAACTCAGGAAAGTTGGCCAAGAAATATATAAATATCCTTCAAAATCTTGTCATACAAAATGGCAATACATTGAGAAGAATGATACATATTTTAATTTTATGCTATACTGGTAAAAACAGAGCATGTGTGAGACAGAATTCAGTGCTAGCTGCATCGTACCACTATGCCAATTATCCAGTGACGTTAAATGACAACAGTGAAGATGTTGGGTTAAATGTGACTTCAAACAGTATTTGGGGGCACAGGTGGCTCAGCCATCTAAGGCGCCACGATTTGCTTTGCAGAGTTGCGTCCCTTGGGCACACCAGAAACCTATGATTGTGGGTTCAAATCCTGTTTCGCCCCAATTATGTTTCTAGGTTTATCAGAAGCATACCCGTGCTCGTGGGTTTCACCCATGGTAAACGTCTGAGACCGGCATCACTTCAGGCTTTCCTCCCACATTAAGCTGACACACCGCGATATAACTGGAATAATGTTAAAAGTGGCATTCAACCCAACTCACTCACTCAAGCAGTATTTATATCAGCTTCATGTGTCAGGGCTCGTCACGCCGAAGACCCGAGTTCGATTACTGACATAGGTACAATGTGTGGAGCCCATTACTGGTGTCCCCGGCTGTGATATTGCTGGAATATTGCTAAAAGCGGCGTAAAACCATACTCACTCACTCATGTGGCAGGACAGCCAAATGAAATGAAGGTCCCAGACATTTCCCACTCTGATGAAACTTGCAAGCACAGGTATGGTTGATACACCAAGAAACCAAATCTGGGGGAGTCTGAGATTCATACAATGAACACTGGATTCTGGCACATCTAAGGAATGCAACTCTGCACAGCAAATTTTAGGTGACTTGGCCATCCGTGTTCCCATTATGTGTGAAGCAAATGTTTTAGCTGTTGTCAGACTTCAAGGACCATCCAATGGAATCATATGTGATGGCCTGGCATCTGGACACAACTCTGCCACGACTTGACAGCTTCGTGTGTGTCCAAGAGTACATGAGTCTGTGTGAGCTACGTTTCAATCAAAGGAGCAATTCATGCTTCATTGGCAAAAATGGTAGCTTCCAAATGTGCCTACAGTTCCAATGTGCCTATAGTTTAAAACAACATGACATGGTCTGATGGTCAGGATGTAACATGGTCTGATGGTCAGGATGTAGTTTAATTGATTGACCAGGAGATTGCAAGATTAGGATTTGTTTTTCCTCTGATGTTTCCCACTTAGATGATAATCCTCAACAGTAAAAACAAGATATACAGGCTCCAGCATTTTCTCATGATTATGCTCATGTTCAGTAAAAACAGATATAATAGTATTGATGTATCTACTCAGGTAATTACAGGATACTTATCAGGGATGTTCCATTATTCTGAGATATAGTCTTCCACTTCATGTAATTAATGACACTTTCATTATTCTAAGAGGGTAAAAAATCATATTCCACTGTGCCTACACCACTTTCTTTAAGCACAATGAGATGAAGGCACATTGGGACCTAACCCTAAAAATACATCCTATTCTTATTGTGTGAACATATATGGAGGTGTTGCTGCACATGTCACTCTCTACAGGTTATGGAAATATATTTGACAAGTTTAGGAGAGTTGTGCCACATGCCTTTCTTTACAAGTTAGGCATCATACTCCAAGGCAACTGTGTTGTTGACTGTATAAGATTTCACAAACACTTAAATTATAATCAGTAACTAATGAGACACACAGAGTATGTCCCAAGCGTATCAATGTGGAACTGTCTTAGCATTTGAAATTTGGGACAGTCTGTGATAGGTTAACTGTCTGTGATGACATGTAAACGATCGATTGGTGGTAACAAGTTAGCAGTCTGTGATGACATGTAAACAGCTTGTGGTAACAAGTTAACAGTCTGTGATGACATGTAAACAGTTGGTGGTAACAAGTTAGCAGTCTGTGATGACATGTAAACAGTTGGTGGTAACAAGTTAGCAGTCTGTGATGACATGTAAACAGCTCGTGGTAACAAGTTAGCAGTCTGTGATGACATGTAAACAGTTGGTGATAACAAGTTAACAGTCTGTGATGACATGTAAACAGTTTGTGGTAACATGTTAACAGTCTGTGATGACACGTAAACAGTTGGTGGTAGCAAGTTAACAGTCTGTGATGACATGTAAACAGTTGGTGGTAACAAGTTGGCAGTCTGTGAGGACATGTAAACAGTTGGTGGTAACAAGTTAACAGTCTGTGATGACATGTAAACAGTTGGTGGTAACAAGTAAGCAGTCTGTGATGACGTGTAAACAGTTGGTGGTAACAAGTTAACAGTCTGTGATGACATGTAAACAGTTGGTGGTAACAAGTTAACAGTCTGTGATGACATGTCAACAGTTGGTGGTAACAAGTAAGCAGTCTGTGATGACGTGTAAACAGTTGGTGGTAACATGTTAACAGTCTGTGATGACACTTAAACAGTTGGTGGTAACAAGTTGACAGACTGCGATAACATGTAAACAGTTGGTGGTAACATGTTAACAGACTGATGACATGTAAACAGTTGGTGGTAAGATGTTAACAGTCTGTGATGACACGTAAACAGTTGGTGGTAACATGTTAATAGTCTGTGATGACATGTAAACAGTTGGTGGTAACAAGTTAGCAGTCTGTGATGACATGTAAACAGTTGGTGGTAACAAGTGAGCAGTCTGTGATGACATGTAAACAGTTGCCGGTAACAAGTTAGCAGTCTGTGATGACATGTAAACAGTTGGTGGTAACAAGTTAGCAGTCTGTGATGACATGTAAACAGCTCGTGGTAACAAGTTAAGTCTGTGATGACATGTAAACAGTTGGTGGTAACAAGTTAGCAGTCTGTGATGACATGTAAACAGCTCGTGGTAACAAGTTAGCAGTCTGTGATGACATGTAAACAGTTGGTGGTAACAAGTGAGCAGTCTGTGATGACATGTAAACAGTTGGTGGTAACATGTTAACAGTCTGTGATGACATGTAAACAGTTGGTGGTAACAAGTTAACAGACTGCGATGACATGTAAACAGTTGGTGGTAACATGTTAACAGACTGCAATGACATGTAAACAGTTGGTGGTAACAAGTTAGGAGACTGCGATGATATGGTAACAGCTGAGGGTAACATGTTAACAATATGTGATGATATGTTAATAGCTGGTGGTATCGTGTTCAGTGGGTGTACCACCCTGGTAATAGTTTCAAAATAATGCTGGCCAGGTGGGCTTATAAGCTAGTCTTAAAAAAAGTTACCAGCTAGTCTTAAAAAAAGTTACCAGCCACTCAAATTTCACTAGCTTAAATATGCTAGAGAATATGTTTCCAGAAATTTGATTCAATATCAATAATGTAAACCCAAATTGCTAACCATGAGTCACATAATATGAAGGGGGTTTCTCTGATCTCACAAACCTTGATTTGTTACAGATATTTATTTATATTTTTTTCAAATTAATGGTCACACTGATCTTCAGAAATTGGGGAATTGTTTTCTATTTTGATCAACTGAGAGGTTTGCATTCAAACATCACTCTTAATATTACAGTAGCCAGCCGGCCTTGGGACATGTCACAATCTTTAGCCTGACCATAATGTTGCTAACAATGGGCTGGCAGGCAGGCAGCTATTCCACACATTGACAATATTAGCAGTCTGTGATATCATGTTATCTGTTGGTGGTACTATGTTAATAGTCAGTGATCCATTGTTAACGGTTTGTGATCCATTGTTAACAGTTTGTGATCCATTGTTAACAGTTTGTGATTCATTGTTAACAGTTTGTGATTCATTCTTTACACTCATTGATCCACTGTTAAGTCTGTGATCCATTGTTAACAGTTTGTGTTTCATTATTAACAATTTGTTATCCATTGTTAACAGATTGTGATCCCAAAAACAATCTATCAGATTTTGTATATCTTAAAAAAAAACATGTCACAATTGATTTTTCTAAACAGTGGAACTTGGCCTGTCACATCGTCTGTGACCATATGGCATGTTGAAACCAATCAAATAAAGCCCATCTCTTCATCGAGTCTCCAGAAGTCTATAATCATTCACTAATTATCGGTCAGTACCTCTGCTTTGTGCTCATTCCCTCAAGATTCCCCCACTTACAGGAATTTCCCTCTAATTAGTGAGGACAATCCAATATCAACTGGTGGATTTAGGTGCTAACATTGCAAAACAAAATTCATTTTTCAGTTGCCTCTTAGTGTCCTGTAATAAGAAATCAGTGGACCGGGTCTATTTCTGGAGAAATATTTACAGAGCCCATCATCAAAATGATACAATTCTTTGAGGTTTTATTTTTATTTCATGAACTCTGAAACAGCATGCTGTTGGAAGAGGTTAAACAGTAAACTGATGTCACTTTAGTCAAACAAATAATTGAAAGTTGTTTTAGTGATTAAAAAAATCAGTATTTCCTGAGAACCCATACATAATTTTAATTCTCATTTTGTAAGCAGCCACCAATGATTAGGTAGATTTCAACAAATGGATATTGAAGTTAGAACAATTTTTTTTCTAAAACATGTTATAATCAAAAAGCTACATCACACTACTTCCAACGCCTCAGTACTTTTACCACTTTGTGAAACCATGACCAACCATGGATTAAACTTCTTCTTCTTGTTACATAATTGTGTGCTTTCCTTCCACATGAAGGAACTTCAAACAGGCTACATGTTGGATGGAATTGAAACAGTGTCCAAACACCATACATTCAATCCAAACGATGACATCAAAAGTTTACAAAAAATTCCATTTTTTCTGAAACAGATAAAAAATATTCATAACAGTCCATTTACACAAGTCAATATGGATCTGTAACTTATTGAAAGCATTGAACTAGTTCAGTTTTAATTTTAGTTTCATCTGAATGTTGCCACTGTAGAATTGTCCACTGACAAAACGCTGCCATCTAAGAATACTGTCAAGGTCATCAAAGGTTTCTGTTCAACAGTGTTTGAAGACAGATGTGAAATGACAAGTAAATTACCAAAGGGCGAGTACAATGTGGATACTGTTTCACAGGAGCGATTTCTCCTCAATGACAAAACGAGCTGGGTGTGCATGTTATTCCATATAATTTTCCATGATTTACCCCCCTTGAAAGACCCCTACTTTTTGGTAAGAAAAACTTGTCTTATACACAGCAATATATGGTAACTGTATCAAGGGATTCACCACTAACTGTATAAACGGATTCATCACTAACTGTATCAAGGGATTCACCACTAACTGCATCAAGGGATTCATCACCAACTGTATCAAGGGATTCATCACTGACTGTATCAAGGGATTCATCACCAACTGCATCAAGGGATTCATCACCAACTGTATCAAGGGATTCACCACTAACTGTATCAAGAGGTTCATCACTAACTGTATCAAGGGATTCACCACTAACTGTATAAACGGATTCATCACTAACTGTATCAAGGGATTCACCACTAACTGCATCAAGGGATTCATCACTGACTGTATCAAGGGATTCACCACCAACTGCATCAAGGGATTCATCACCAACTGTATCAAGGGATTCACCACTAACTGTATCAAGAGGTTCATCACTAACTGTATCAAGGGATTTATCACTGACTGTATCAAGGGATTCATCACCAACTGTATCAAGGGATTCGCCACTAACTGTATCAAGGGATTCACCACTAACTGTATCAAGAGGTTCATCACTAACTGTATCAAGGGATTTATCACTTACTGTATCAAGGGATTCATCACCAACTGTATCAAGGGATTCACCACTAACTGCATCAAGGGATTCATCACCAACTGTATCAAGGGATTTATCACTTACTGTATAAAGGGATTCATCACCAACTGTATCAAGGGATTCACCACTAACTGTATAAAGGGATTCACCACTAACTGTATCAAGAGGTTCATCACTAACTGTATCAAGGGATTTTTCACTTACTGTATCAAGGGATTCATCACCAACTGTATCAAGGGATTCACCACTAACTGTATCAAGGGATTCATCACCAACTGTATCAAGGGATTCACCAGTAACTGTTTCAAGGGATTCATCACTAACTGCATCAAGGGATTCACCACTAACTGTATCAAAGGATTCATCACCGACTGTATCAAGGGATTCACCACTAACCATATCAAGGGATTCATCACTAACTGTATCAAGGGATTCATCACTGACTGTATCAAGGGATTCATCACTAACTGTATCAAGGGATTCATCACTAACTTATCAAGGGATTCATCACCAACTGCATCAAGGGATTCATCACCAACTGTATCAAGGGATTCACCACTAACCGTATCAAGGGATTAACCACTAACTGTATCAAGGGATTCATCACCAACTGTATCAAGGGATTCACCACTAACGGTATCAAGGGATTCACCACTAACAGTATCAAGGGATTCATCACTAACTGTATCAAGGGATTCATCACTGACTGTATCAAGGGATTCATCACCAACTGCATCAAGGGATTCATCACCAACTGTATCAAGGGATTCACCACTAACCGTATCAAGGGATTCATCACTAACTGCATCAAGGGATTCTATACTAACTGCAAGTTACTAATGTATCAAGGGATTCACCACTAACTGTATCAAGGGATTCACCACTAACTGTATCAAGGGATTCATCACTGACTTTAACAAGGATTCATCATTGACTATAACAAGGCATTCATCACCGACTGTATCAAGGGATTCATCACTGACTGTATCAAGGGATTCATCACTGACTGTAACATGGGATTCATCACTGACTGTATCAAGGGATTCATCACTGACTGTACCAAGGGATTCATCAGTGACTGTATCAAGGGATTCATCACCAACTGTATCAAGGGATTCATCACTGACTTTAACAAGGGATTCATCACTGACTGTATCAAGGGATTCATCACTGACTGTACCAAGGGATTCATCACTGACTGTATCAAGGGATTTACCACTGACTGTATCAAGGGACAGTACGGCGTCAGCAGTAGTTTCATAAGGGCGGGAAGGTGTTTCTGACCTCGCTGGGATATGATCATGTCAGTTTGGTTTTACACCACTTTGAACAGTTCAGCAATATCACAGCATGTCAGCTTGGCGTGAAAGGAAAGCCTGAAGTGATAAAGGAGAATGGGTATTGTGCTGAAAAAACCCGAGAAACATATACAGACTAATCTTGGATTCAAACCCACTGTTATAGGTTTCTGGCAACTTTGAGAGATGCAAAGCTGAACAGTGAATTGTGGTGCCTGACGTCTTGGCCACCTGACCCCAAGTCAGGCATATGAACCAGTCATGTTAAATGTCAGCACTTGACAGCGACATGATGGGACCAATGTAGCTTGAAGCTCTTACTTGGAAGCATTAATTGATTAATATGTTGGTCAAAATATAATATTACTCCTCTGGGTAGAACAATCGTGTGCAATAACTTTCCGTTATTTGGATGTGTGCATTTCAGCAATTCCCAAAACTGATTGGTCAGCTAAAGACATAATTTGTATGACATCATAATATTTTATTGAGAAAAATGTGATATGACATTATCCATTGTTCATATGTCAAAACTTAATTACCTTACATCATCTAAACAACATGGTTCCTTTAGTGAAGCTTCTGTTCAGTTGTTATTCACAAGTTTGTTCTTCATTTTTTTCTAAAAATGTCAATGAGTACAGTAATATATAGAATAACCTACGTGAAACTTGTAATAAAGGACAGTCTGTCCCTCGTGAGTGAATATGCTGCAAGATAACACCATACATTCACTCAGGACATACGATCCATAATTCCTTGTTGACTATTCTCTTGGTACTACATTGTACAGGAGCGTCAAAGGGGGTGGAGAATATAGTAACTTCAAGCCAATAGACCAAAAGTAGTGGAATGCTTATATTAAAACAAGAAAGAAAAAATTACTTTGGACTTGAAAAACAAATACTACTGTCAGTGTAAAAATTCACTACATTCTTTATATGAAGATTATCTTGAACTTAAATTATGCTGGGTCTGTGGATTTTGATTAGGAATTAAAATGCGCATTACTAAAAAACAACAACGCATAAAGTAAACACAGGCACTTTATTCTGTACTCCTGTATTCAACACATCAGGCAACAATATCGCAACACAGGAGAAACAACTTCCTTACGAGATAAGCTCACATAGATACACGCATAGATCACTTACTGATCTGACATTAGCTGTATCTTAAAACCCATTTCGTCCATTGACTTTGATCTTGGAGATACTGACACTTAAGTTGAAATGGACCACAGTAAATGGATGAAACGTACACCACGATCTACTTAGATCTACACTGTTATATTTCTTTGATGACAAGTTGATGATGAAACTGACAGATCAATGGCCTGGATGCTTACCAGAATGACTGCTATACTTATTTCTAATCTAAATAAATATCTTATAAAATGGCAATTTTGTTTCTGAAGATGTGTGGACAAACAAAAGTATGTGATTTATGATAGACACATGTTCATCTGATGAATAGTGATACATCCGGGAAAGAGCCCAAACATTTCATCTATCATCTGGTGACACCAATTTGACCCTTCAGTCAGTTTGTTATAAAAGCGTATAACTGAACAAAAACGAAGAGATATATCTGAGGTTTTCAAACACTCAACTAACAAACTTGGCAGCACCTTGTCACTGATATTGCAGTGCTTGTTCAGGTGTAAATATCAACAGTTGGTTATGTGTTAGCAACATTTTCTGTTTCAGAAACTCCTGAAAGGTCAAAGACGGTTGTAATAATTTTTCAGTAGCATCCAGCATGTCCATTTTTAATACGGAAGGAGCCCAAAGTAATAAAATTTCTCAACTTTAGGAAACGTGCTCAATGATGCTGATCCTTGCCGAACCAAATTTCTTTTCAAAAGCATGTAAAATATTTACATGAAAAGTTTAACTCTTATAAAAGGATGGATTTAACTTTTAAATGATTTCAGTAAACTGAACAGATTAAAAAAATTAATAATATCAGCAAAATAATTATTCACTTATCAAATACTGAACAGAACTGGTGAACAGACCTTATCCTTTGTTAAAGACTTTCTTTAATAAGCAGAGTTCCAAAGATGCAGTTGGTCAGTGTGAATGGTTTCCTTCCAATGTATTTTCAGCAATAGTGATCATATTCACAAAACCACTGTAGTACCAAATTTGGTATTCATTCACTAACACCAATGATAACAGATATTGAATACAAGTGACATACTTCTAAATCTAACATGAGGTAGCTTCACAAGGAGTGTGTAGTTCATCTTTTTATTCTGAAGTTCATGCATTTAGAGTTCTGGTAGATAATTGTACTTTTTGTAATTTCAACATAACAACGGACAAGTACAGCTCTCAAGAGCATGTTGAACTATGAATGCATGAAAAGGGGTCTCTTGGATGGAGAACAAAAAGATAAACTACGTTTCTCAAATCTGTGAAACTCATAACAGAAACATTGCTCAGATCACATGGTGCTGAAATATACACAGAAATGGCAACAATATCCTCTTTAATCATATATACAAACAATATTCTGTCAATGCTATACATCACCAATATTTCTCATAAACATATATATATGAAAGATGGAAATTCATTTTTAGCAGACAAGAATTCATTATTTTGTGAAAAAACATAAAAATTGTGAACGGAATTATATTCAAAATAAGTAATACTATTTAACATAGCATAAAGGAAAAAAGAAAAGAATTCTTCAAGTCTACTGTTATAAATTAATTATATATTTAATGCCAAAACCAAATTATAATATTGATTCACATTATGATATTTAATATTTGTAAGTTGAATCACTGATGGTCAAACATTTTACATTATTAATCATATGTGACTTCAATCATATGTGTTTCAAATAAGACTTATAGAAAACATATCCAAGAACATAAATTAATTTCTCAAACAATTTTGCACTAATATTACCACATATATTGGGACATTCATATGAAATGAAACATACATCGTTTGAAATATACACTTTCACTACACACATATTTATGTACATATGTTTGTTTTTTACCAACTGGTGTTAAAAACATATACAGTCGTGCTTTTTTTCACAGCCTAAACATTTATACAAGTTATACTTTCTGTCCTGAACATATCATTTGCATTCTTGCTTCACGACCAGGATCTTAGCACAAAAGCAGGCAAGAGCACTATGCAAAAAATAATCATGTGAAGAAAAATAACATGTCTTGTACATGGTTCCCGTGGCACCGAACTTTAAACAATATCCAGTGTTTTTTACCAGTATATACAATATGTACATCATATACCAACATAAATAGCCTACAGTTCAGTATCTAAACCTTTCCATTTTTACAATTGTTCATACAGTTCGCAATTGTTTAAACAATGTTCACCGTGTTCACTTCAGGGGAACTTGGGAGTTTAATGGAACAGCTTCAGTGTTCACATCACTCACAGCGTTCGTTTCACCGTTGGACTTTATGGAAGCTTTTCGTAATTTCGATCGTTCTTCTGTCATACACCTTTCCTCCAAACCAAGAGCTCGGAAACAAGCTCTTCGGATTTTTCGGTCCATAACACCGTATATGATTGGGTTACAGGAATTGGCAACTGCGTACAGTACTGTAATCGCAACATAGAAGTCAGCACTAAATTTAAGTCCTTTATCAATGCTACGGACTATACCATAAGGCAAATAACCGATAATAATCAGAAGAAATACAAGCCCGAACATTTTTGTGATTTGTATCTCACGGCGCAGCCATTCCCGTTTTCGACTTGCTCGGAATGCGCTTGACGACTGATGCACTTTGACAAATATGGCAATATAGCACACAATAAGAACAAGCGATGGCAACATCATTAAAACAACGGATACCAACATTGTATAGAGGCCAAAACCTTTTTTCACAACGCAGCGAAGCAGTTTTGGTTGGTACTGGGACATGTAGCCAAGGTGCGGTTGAATGAGAAACAAAAGTGGGACAACTCTTGCAGCAACCAAGACGAATATTGTGTATGCCTTCTTGGAGATTTTCTTGTAGAAGGTGTTGAAAACGACGACGATGAGTCGATGAATAGCTATGAGCCCTGTGTGCCACAGAGACGAACCCATGAGGAGGACTGTGAAATGAGTCACCATCTCACAAACAATGGACCCCGTCGCCCAGGTCATCATGAAGTAAGATACCAACACCAACAGGTTATTGATGCCCAGGTTAAGTATGTCATTGATACATAGACTCACGATGAAAATGTTTGTGATGTTTTTCAGTTCCCGCTCTGTAAGAATCACAATCATTGTAAGAACGTTGGCAAAGACGCCCCACATCAACGACATCAGCATCACAATGGCACCGACCTGCAAGGCTGTGGCGGAGGGGCCAGCCAAACCGGAATCATTGGTGTCATTACGATGAAGGGACAAGTTCAAGGAAGAGTTTTCAAAAAGAGCAAGAGACATGTTGAAACTGTTTTATCACAACTTGCCGAAAAAAATTGCAAATATTCAAATTAAAGAAATTGAAATTAAAATTTCAACAACTTGTTAATGACATCATTTCTTCCTGTTCCACTGCCAAGGATTCCAAGCATGATAATCGCAACAAAAAATACAAACAAGAAATAAAAAATGGATAAATGTCTCTGCTTGACAGAGTTCCAAATCCTTAAGTATTGAAAAAGTATGTTAATCAAGTCACGATTTCCCTTCTCCTACTTTTGAGGATCCACAGAAATGATCACACTGTATCCCAGCTGCAAGGAACGTCTCAACAAGGTTAAGCAGTTTACCACACACTCTGTCAACTAATTCTCAATATGGTGAAAGAAATTCTTTTGTTGCAGGTTGATCACATCCTCTTTGGCCACCACCGAATCACATATGGTCGAGCGTGCACGAAAGGCAGTTCCACAGCTCACACAGGTGTTAATAGCAAGGTAATTTCTGTACTTTGTACGAGCCTGACTTGCCAATAGCGATTTCCTCGGCAGTTATTTCACGTTCATTACGCCTGTTGTCGATATCGCTTCGCAGCATACCTGTGAGAGAGGGCGGCTGTCATCGTTGAGTTGGTCGTCGTGATACACACTCTGCAAACAGCAACAGAAGAAGGTTATTGACTGCATAGCCAACGATCACTCATCAATATACTTATGGCATTAACCTGTCATTAAAATCATGATATAAGCTATCCTGTCATTTTGGGAATGGTTGGATTTATTGGAAAATCAATTTTATGAGTGTATAATTCTTGTGAGATGGTAAAGTCAAATAGTAATTTCAGGAAAGTACATACTTGTGCACTGAGCATCCAGGAAAAACATTGATACAGTCAGTTTGAGAATTCTAGAGTACAATGAACCTTTGACAATTTCTAACAACAAAGAATTTTTTCCTGCATGCCAGACATTATTAATGACATATATACAACACATATTTTGAAATATTCACCACAAAGTGAAAATCTAACTGTTTCATTCTGTTGGTATGGGTAATGGGATCTAAGTGGAAAGAATGCCAGGAGATAGAATGATCATTAAAAGTTTAATGTCCATTTTGTGTTAAATCTTCTTCTCTGTTTATTCCCATAGGAGAATTCAAATAAATACATATGTACACAGAGTCACAGTAAAGGTTGCAAAAAAAGATCTCAAATGACATAGTAAGAAACCAACAGAGTGTGCCTGATGATGCCCAGGAGGCAGAAAGCTTGTCTGTGCATATCGTTTTAGTTAGAATGACCTTTAAAATTCATACTTTATGCAGTTTGAACGCTTAAACTAATATTTTAATCAATAATTTGACAAAATAGGAAAATAAAAATACTATAAGTACTTCATCTTAACATCTTTACAGATACCTTACAAATGGAACAATGCAGACTTTTTAGAGAAGTATTTCAAAGCCTGATTGATCATTATCTACCAAGTTATTCTATTTCTTATCAGAGCAAATCAATAACAATATTGATGACATTGTCTATAATTAATGTTGTATAGTTTGTCCCAGACAATTTACCCATCAAGGCACGAATACAATAGCTAGGTTCCAATCCAACCATGCTGAGGATAGGTCTCCAAATAATAAACACTAAAACATGTATGAAGTCTACTGCTGGTCACAGCTCCAAGTTCGCATAAATTGATTACTTGAACTTGATTATAGTCTGTTTGCCAACAATAGTAGGTTGGCCTAACATGGGCAAGTTTCATGTGCGAATGTTTACAGTGCAGACCCCCTTGATGTTTGTTTGTTGTTTAACGCCTCACTCAGCAATATTCCAGCTATATGACAGTGGTCTGTAAATAATCAAGTCTCGACCAGACAATCCAGTGATTGACAACATGAGCATTGATCCACGTGATTGGGATATGAAAACATGCATCAAGCAAGTCAGCAAGCCTGACCACCTGATCCCATCAGCCGCCTCTTACGGCAAGCATGCATATGGGTTGCTGAAGACCTGTTCTACCTCGGATCTTCATGGGTCGCAGACCCCATTGTAACAACAGGCTTACAAAACAATCCCACAATTGTTGTGAAACAACTTTTTCTACCATTTATGACCATATCTGATATTATGGTGACGAGTTGGTAGAGACAAATAAATAACTGTCATGCCATTTAAGACGAATAGTTGCTTAGGGATTTATATCTATTTTGCATTTCATCAGTATGATTTGGCAGCAAACAGACTATACCTGATGTTGAGTACCAATGATGTGTACAGTTCAAGGTGTTATTACATAATACATCAGTCAAAATGTTGATCAAAGTATGAAACTAGAAACTGATGTATCGGATATCTATATTCTGTTTGCTTCAAGATGGATGCAAATGCCTGAAATATATGTCTGAAGAAGGAAAAGACTATTATAACTATTTTAACTCCTCCTCCTATAACCCCAAATCTCTCCTATAACTACATACTCTATGTATTTGACTATATTGGGTATACACATATGTAGAGTTATAACTTGGAGTGAGTTGGTTATAATCCCAAATTATGTCAGTTCAACACAATGTAGGATATTTGTCATGATGTCATCAGTGCTTATTCACTTTGGTGAATTAAAAATCCACAAGCTCAGGTAAGTTTGTTACAAAACAAGGATGATAATTCAGACAAATTGGTATCTGATACCAAGATCAGCAGATCCTGACATAGCCAAGGGAGGTAATTTTACAAGAAGAAGAAGAAGAAAAAAGATTGAGACCTTTGACCACTGGGCCCTAACCCCAAGTTCTTATTTATGATAAGCATAGGTAACTGATCCTGGAACCTTCAAGAAGCTTCATGTGAGTATGGTTTTATGCCATGTTTAGCAATATTCCAGCAATATTGCATGGTGAGAGGCACCCAAACTGCGCTTCACACATTGTACCCATGAGGAGAATCCAACCCGGACCTTCGGTGTGATGAGCGAATGCTTTATCCACTAGGCTACACCACCACACTACCTCCAAGAAGAACACTGACAAATACTTATATTGAATACATTGCCCAACATAACAACATAACATAATAATAATAGTCGGATCAGCAAGTTCATCACTGACTGAAGCCTTGTGATGTGTTCAGTCATGTAAGTAAATATATAGTATCAAACAAACCATGTCAAACAGTAGTATAAAACCTATTCATTGCTTACGCATCATGAGCGAAAGCATTTGGCTTAACGCCGCTTTGAAAAGTAAAGAAGTTAATGATATCACAGAGCCAGCTTCATGTGGAAGAGGATGCAAAGATGCAGGGAGCAGAAACATGATCTGGGCAAATCTGGTTGTTTGCAGAAGTGTAATGGGGGGTGAGTGAGTAAGTTGGGTTAAACGCCGCTTTTAACAGTATTCCAGTTATATCACGTTGTGTCAGCTTAATGTGGGAGGAAAGCCCGAAGGTCTCAGACGTTTACCACATTGGTGAAACACACGAACAGTATGGTGCTGACAAACCTAGAAACATAATCAGGGCGAAACCGGGATTCGAACCCACAATCATAGGTTTCTGGCGTGCCCAAGGGATGCAACTCTGCACAGCGAATCGCGGTCGCCTTAGACGACTGGGCCACCTGTGCCCCCAAGAAGTGTAATGAAAAGTACTTAGTGTCTAATATGGGATACCCATGGTTTGTTGTTTAACGCCACATTCAGCAATATTCCAGCTTTATGACGGCAGTCTGTAAATAATCAAGTCTGGACCAGACACTCCAGTGATTGATATCATGAGCATCGATCTAAGCAAATTGAGATACGATGACATGCATCAAACCAAGTCAGCAAGCCTGACCAACTGATTCTGATAGTCGCCTCTTAAGACAAGCATTGTAATCTTTCATGGCAAGCATGGGTCGTTGAAGACCTATTCTAACCCGGATCTTCACATGTAGTTTGCAGAAGTGTTATGAAATGTAATTAGTGTTTCATTCAGATGATCCAGTCTAATTTGGGATAAGCATGGTACAGAAATAGTAGAAATATATAACGGTAGATAGTCATATTCATGTGTGCCAGTGCCAGTAGCAGTGCCAGACCACAGAGCGGGTAACAATGGTCAGGGGGACATTTCTTTTATTTCTTCGTTTACAGATTTCAAACTCATTTCAAAAGTGAGGTAGGCAAATTAAAAAAATTAAAAAATTAATAAACTAAAAAACTCTCGGACTTTTTATACTTGACTTTTGTCCTAAGAAGTTAGGTAGGTATAAAAAGATATTCTGGAGTAACAAAAGTAATACTCAATTTTTCAAGATCATTTTATTATATCCACAAATGGCAATATAACAATATTCATGTCATGGTGACATGCATGAAAGACGCCACCATTTTGGCAGCATGGGTGATGATTAAACTGGTCACCACTGTGCTTTGCGTTGACACGCTTTGATGGTATAAGAGAAGGATCCCAGCGAGAAATATCGGAGTGACTTACCTTTTGCTTAATACTCAACGAGGAAACGAAATGTTTTTACATTTTAACTTTTTATGCATTTCTTAAAGTAAAGATCTGCGGTAATAAATAAAGTCGTATTTGTTGAAAAAAACAAACCCTTTTGTATTTGAAAGAGCAGTGCATCCAAAAGACCAAGAAATAAAACAAATGTCGCCCAACCAGTCCTTACAAAATTTTGGCTAAAAATCCATTTTGATATTAATTAAAGAAAACTAAAGTCGCCTACAATTTCCTTCCTTACAATGACATAGGAAACAGAGATTCAAAGGCCAGATAATGTTAATGAATAATGCTGTAAAAATCTCTTCCTTATTAGCCAAACCATGCATTTAAATGTGAATATTACAAGAAATACATTAATATTTTATTTACACACACATATAAGGTAATCTGAGACAGACATTTGTGAACAGATCTCAGAAATATTTGATTTGAACTTAATGTAAAATAGTGCTAGTTGAAGCAAGTTTAATTCAAAATTGTGCTAAATACATTGATTTTAGATTAACAAATGTCAGCAAACACACCCACACTTTTGGCGAGTCCCTGAGACCATGCATTTCCAGTATATAGAGCCTTGTTTTACCTGAATAATATTCTGTAAAGGTTAAAGGACGTCTGAGTTAACACTTTCAGTTCCCACCCAAACTGGCCTGTTATTGATTATTTGTAAAGAAGGGCAACATAATAACCATCAAATTTATGTTTCAAAATATCATGGTTGTGTTTAAAAGAATTACAGTAACAACATTAATTATCATGCCTTCTTCAGTGTTACATTGACAAATTGAATTATTTTATTATACCTCTGTTACACATCAAATAAGAGAGCAATATTTTCTCTTTAAAATGAATACCCACACTGTATATAAATATATTTAAATGACATTAAACTTTTGAAATTTAATGTCGACCACAAATGAACACATAGGGTTAATGGCACAACCTATAATGAGATAGCACCGAGAGAAGTGTCAAGTTTACTCTCTGCCTTAAGTGACCCTACTTCTTCAAACTCTTGTAATACCCTTATGCTGGCAGACAAAATAAAGTACTTCATTGCCATGGAAACCCCAACCCGACCATGACAATCTTAAATGCCAACTAGACGAAAAGTATGGACTTCTTTATAAAGATGTG